AAAAAATGTTTTCTTGATAATATTACTTAAAATAAATAATATTCTACATTCTAATTATTCGATTCTTCAGTTAAGAATATAAAATTAAAACAAACATTTGATTTGCTAATTATTTTGATAGGACAAGTCAAGGCTATGACGCAGATCACAGTGCGTAATATCAGAAATAACTGATTTATTCGTCGTTTTCATACATCGATCCGTAGGTTTCGGCTCAGCTTTGAGCCATCTTCAGCAGTAGTTGCACAAGTTAAGTTACACGTTCTCCGTACCGTGTGGTGAGTTTACTGATTCCAAATATCAGAAACATAGACCAATTGAGCCATATCCGTAAATTTGTTCAATTAATGTCGAGATATTAAAAAAATCCTTTAGGAAACTCATCATTCGGTCTGAAAAACGTGGAATACAGAGCCATGTACATAATGAATACTCTATGCGAGAAGACTTAACGATCTTATCGACAACGACACACAGCAATGATATGAAAGGTCCTGCAAGAAGAGGCATGTCGTAGGTCAATACACCGGCGAGAATTATAACAAAGCACGATTTGACACCGTCTCAAAATGACACGGATTTTTTGCATCATGCATATGTCACGGTTTTGAGCAAATTGTAATCCATGCTCATGAACTTTGGTCGTTGGCAAATCGGGGTTTTACTATTGATACGTGCAATATTGTGACGGTGTCAAATCGTATCTTTGTTATAATTCTCGTCGGTGTGTTGACCTACGACATGCCTCTTCTTGCAGGACCTTTCATGTCATTGCTGTGTGTCGTGTCGATAAGATCGTCAAGTCTTCTCGCACAGAGTATTCATTATGTACATGGCTCTGTATTCCACGTTTTTCAGACCGAATGGTGAGTTTCCTAAAGAATCTTTTTAATATCTCGACATTAATTGAACAAATTTGCGGATATGGATCTATTGGCCTATGTTTCTAATACTTTGAATCAGTAAATTCGCCATATGGTACGGAGAACGTGTAACTCAATTTCTGTAACTACCGCTGAAGATGGCTCAAAACTGAACCGAAACGTACGGATCGATGTAATGTATCAAAATGACGAATAAATCAGTTATTTCTGATATTACGCACTGTGATCTGCGTCTGACCCTCATAGTTTTGACTTCTCCTATTTTAATCTCGAGGTTCCTCATATTACGTTATTTATTTTTTTTAACTTTCTTTGATAGAATTTTATTATGCTTCTTGAAGGAGTATAAATTCTTCTTTCGAGTACATGATAAAGACTCTTTCTAAAATTTGTACATTTTATAACTATTATCAAGAAAATATTCTTTCTTAAAGACAACCGTTACTTATTAAAAGAAAAAAGTAAATTGAGTAATCGCTTTTTTAAGCAGTAGAATTGATATTTTCTTGTGTATGCATGTACACACGTATGTACATACGTGCGCACAAAAAAATTTTCTATGTCGTTAGAAAATTTTACTATCATCGCTTAGAACGGGGGCCCGGCGTTACGCGCCGCTCGTGCGTGATCGCCGCCGCTTGTTGTAAACAACTGCCCGCGCGCGGACCGCGGGGCGGTCGTATCTCACGGCGCGCTTGGATTTGGCGATGGGCCGGGCCAATACGGCGATTTTTAATTATTAATAACTCATAAACTATTGAGAAAATTGCAAAATGGTACAAGACTTTTCGACTCAGTTTGGCTCGTTCTATCTAAATACGAGAAAAGTCCCCACGATTTACGGACACCCTGTATATATATATATATATATATATAAGACTAGATTTTTCGCCCGCGCTTCGCGCGGGCTTAAAATCTATTCCCCTCTCCCCAAACTCACTCATTAATTAGGAGCACCTTTGATATTCTTTCTCCTCAATCTCTAACCTATATCTTCGAATTCTTTTTTAAAAAATAAAAAATAATAGATAATATTATAGATGCAGAGATTAGCATATTGTCAAATATTACAAAAATGTAAACTCTTATATTAAAGTCTTTAAATTTTATTTTTGCTTGCGCCTCGCGCGTTTTCACTCTCCGTTGACCCGCCATTATTAACTCTCTTTCATTTTCTTTCATTTTATTTTTTCTTTTCAAAATAATCAAAAAATTAGAAAAATTTTGGCACCGGTTTCAAGAAAATTAATTTATTAATAAAAAACTACCCATTAATAAAAAATTAAACTTATCCTCCAAAAATTAAAAAATTTTTGACACACTTTACTCCTATTTCATATATAATTCTTTAAGATTTGGTCAATTAATTCCCGAAAAATTGGAAAAATTTTGTAACCGGTTCCCAAAAAAATCGGTAACGAAAAATTATACACTTTATAGCAATCTCCGGGAAATTTTACCTCTATTTTATATGTAATTCTTTAAGATTTGGTCAATTAATTCCCGAAAAATTGAAAAAATTTCGTAACCGGTTTCCCAAAAAATCGGTAACGAAAAATTATACACTTTTTAGAGCAAACCCCAGGAAATTCTACCTTTATTTCATATACAATTCTTTGAAATTCGATTAATTAACTCCCGAGAAATTTGAAAAATTTTGTAACCGGTTTCTACAAAAATCAGTAACGAAAAATTATCTATAAAAATTATCCATAAAAAAAATTTAGCTTGATATCTCAAAATTTACGGAAATTGGAGCAGAAATCCGAAACCCCTTTATTATTAGCAATTTTTCTATAAACTCATTATAGCCATCCTCAAAAAATTAGAAAATTTTGAAAAAAATCGATTATGAAAAATTATACACATCTTTGCCATCTCCAAAAAATTAGAAAAATTTGGGCATTGTTTTTAAAAAAGTAACGAAAAATTATCTCTAAAAAAATTCAGCTAATATCTCAAAATTTGAGGAAATTATAATTATTATTATAATTATTTAGATATAATATTTTTTTAAAAAATATAAATATTATTAAAAAGAATTTTATTTTACACCCACGAAATATACGTTTTGCAATATTGAATAAAACTCAATTAATTATTAATTAATATTTATAATCACAATTTTTGTAATCTTCTATTTCCTTCATCCAATCTTCTGAGATCAAAATATTAATATCGTTAGCTATCGCAGTGCGTAGTTAAGGCTCGTCCAAAATTAATATAATTTTATACACATCATTTTAGCCCTTTTTTATTAGCAATTTTTCTAATTCTATTACATTCTTTAGTTTTTTCTACCCCTATCTATATAATTCTTTCAGATTCGGTCAATTACAATTTGCGAAAATTAGAACAATCACGTACATTGTTTTAAACAAAAATCGGAAATTCCTTTATTAATATCAATTTTTTAATTCTATTAAATTCTTAAGTTCTTTTACCCCTATTTCATGTATAATTCTTTAAGATTCGGTCTTAAATTTCTGAACCGGTTTCCAAAAAGATCGGTAACGAAAAATTATACATTCCCCGGGAAATTCTACCCCTATTTCATGTATAATTCTTTAAGATTTGGTCTTAAATTTTGTAACCGGTTTCCAAAAAGATCGGTAACAAAAAATTATACACTCCCCGGGAAATATTCTACCCCTACTTCATATACAATTCTTTGAGATTCGGTCAATTAATTCCCGAAAAATTGAAAAAATTAAAAAAACCGGTTTCCAGAAAATTGGTAACAAAAAACTATACACTTTATGGCACTCACCGGGAAATTCTACCCCTACTTCATATACTTTTGGTAAAAATTAGGTCCACTAACGAATGAGTAGTCCGCGGTCAGAAATACATACATACATACATACAGACGGTACTTATATAATAGTATGATGATAAGATAAGATAAGATGTATGTATATATATATATACTAGTACTTTCAAAAGTCATGTGCCCCGTTTTGAAATCCAAGATGGCTGATCCAATATGGCGGCTAAAAGCCTGAAAATAGAAGAAAAATCTACATAATTTAACGTAATCATGTTTTTAAATATTGATTCGGTTTTGAAATGGTTTGGTGAGGAGTTTTTAATGTCTGTGATGTTGAATCTGGGAGCTAGTTAAAGTTTGGAACGTTCCTGGAGCGATTAAAGTTTGGAACGTTTCTGGATTTTTTAAAAATGATTTGTCCCGTTTCTCCTTTGGCACAGAGACATTTCTGAGTGATAAATACGAAATACATAAGAGACCGAACCGATACACCCTGCGGAAGACACCCTTATACTCAAAAAACCTACCCCCCGACCACTTTAAATATTCTGGCTACGCTTAAAACGATTTGTCCCATTTCTCCTTCGGCACAGAGCAACTACTAAATGCCACACACAAAATACATAAGAGACCGAACCGACACACCCTGCGGAAAACACCCTTATACTAAAAAAACCTACCCCCGGACCACTTTAAATATTCTGGCTACGCTGAAAACGATTTGTCCCATTTCTTCTTTGGCACAAAGCAACTTATAAATTTCCCGTAAAATTCATAATTTATTGCATATCCTCATAGGGTTTGCAACCTACTACCAATACTATCTTTCTCCTCTCACTTTAACCCTTTGGACCAACGGCTTAACGTCTCTTTCCGAAAGACGGAGCCCAGTTTTCTCCGCACAAGAGCAATGGGACAAATTGTTTTCGGCGTAGCCAGAATATTTAAAGTGGTCCGGGAGTAGGTTTTTTGAGTATAAGGGTGTCTTCCGCAGGGTATATCGGTTCAGTCTCTTATGTATTTTGTGTGTGGCATTTAGTAGTTGCTCTGTGCCGAAGGAGAAATAGGACAAATCGTTTTAAGCGTAGCCAGAATATTTAAAGTAGTCGGGGAGTAGGTTTTTTGAGTATAAGGGTGTCTTCCGCAGGGTGTATCGGTTTGGTCTCTTATGTAATTCGTATTTATCACTCAGAAATGTCTCTGTGCCAAAGGAAAAATGGGACAAATCATTTTTAAAAAATCCAGGAACGTTCCAAATTTCAATCGCTCCAGGAACGTTCCAAACTTCAACTAGCTCCCAGATTCAACATCACAGACACTGAAAACTCTTTACCAAACCATTTCAAAACCGAATCAATATTTAAAAACATGATTACGATAAATTATGTAGATTTTTCTCCAATTTTCAGGCTTTCAGCCGCCATATTGGATCAGCTATCTTGGATTTCAAAACGGAGCACATGACTTTCGAAAATACTAGTAAAGACTAATTTTTTGAGCTATCGAACGTCTTCGTAGGTCGCTTCAAATTTTGGGCAGACAAGTGATCCGGTTGACGTGAAACGTCCCTATACATCACATATATATATAAACCAGCTAGTATATATAGTATAGTATATATATAGTATATATATATATATATATATATATATATATATATATATATATATA